CCCCCCCCCGATTCCCTCATCCTCACCAACATTTATTGTTTGCTGTCCTGTCCAACCACTGTTGTTGGCTACTGGAGTGAGATGGTGTATCATTATTGGTTTGATTCGCGTCTCTCTGGTGGCTAGAGATTTTGAACATTTCTTTGTGGTTTTTTTGGATATCCTAAAATCTTCCTTGGTGAAGTCTCTTTATGTCCTATGTCCATTTTGTAATTAGAATGTGTTGTGTTATTTTCTTTTTAAGTTAGGTCTTTTTCTTGTGGAGATGCAGTAGTATTCTGTTGTTGTTGTGTACAGTTGAGTTAGAATTGACTCATAGCCGACTCTCCAGTGGTATTTTAGTTATGAGTCCCTTGTCTAAAACGTTTTTGCCTAATATTTTTCCCCAATCTGTGGGCTTTCTTTTTACTCTTTTGGGAAAAGTTCTTGATGTACACAGGGATTTGATTTTTAGTAGGTCTTATTTATCAATTTTAGCCTCACCTGGTTCTGTATTTTTGCTGTTTGCAAGCCTACTCATGCCATATGTTGTTGTTACATGCCATCAAGTATGACTCATACTGAACCTATGAACAACATATCTGACCCCTGTCCTATCCTGTGTCTTCCTCACAATCTCTGACACACTCGAACCCATTGCTGCAGTCACAATGTCAATCCACCTGGTTGAGGATCTTCCTCTCCTTGGCCATCCCTCTACCTTTCTTTCCAAGCGTGATGTCCCTCTCCAAAGAATAGCCTCTCCTAGCAACATGCTCAAAGTATATGACGTGATGATTTCTCAATCATCTTTGCCTCCAAGGAACACTCTGGCTGCACTTTCTCCAAGACATACATGCTTCTTACTTTGCAATACATGAGATATTCAGTGCTCATCTCCAGAACCACAGTTAAAAGGCATCAATTATTCTTCTGTCAGTCTTATCCATTGTCCGGCTCTCAGATGCATAGCAAGTGACTGAAAAGACCATGGTCTGAATCAAGCTCCCCTTAGTCCTCAGACTGACATTACTGTTCCATTATTGCCATAGACTAGGGCTTCTAAATTCGTTCTCCCCCACCCCCAATCTTTATGAGTTTTAGTTTTACTTCCGGGTCTCTGATCACTTTGAATTGGTTTTTGAGTATGGAGTGTGATGTAGATGTTATTTCCATTTTCTGCAGGAGACTATCGTTTCTCCATTTCCCCATGTAATAGGTTTTCTTTGTTTATTGAATGTCACTTGACCATTGGTATAAGAGTTAAATTCTGGGCTCTAGATTATATTTCATTAATCTTTGTTAACTGTCTTTGTATCGGTACCATGAGTTTTGATTACTATAGCTGTGTATTAGGTTTTAAGATCTGGGGGAGTGATACTTTTTATTTTTCAGAAGAATTTTGCTTATGTAGGATCTTATTCTTTTCCAAGTAAAACACACTCACAAGCAATTTTCCTGTACTGTTACCTGCTTTGTCCTGTGTTATCTTAATAGCACCTGCTCTTTTAAAGATCATGTTATAATCCACACAGTAAATGCCTTTGCATAATTAGTAAAATATAAATAGACATTTTTCTGGTAATTGTCTCTGTTCAGCCAAGATCCATCTGACATTAGCAGTGATATCTTGGGTGCCATGACCTCTTCTGAATCCACATTGAACTTCAGGTAGTTCTCTGTAGTATATACTATTCTAGATGGTTTTGGTTAATACTCAGCAGTATTTTACTTGCATGTGATATTTATTATTTGATAATTTCCACATTCTTTTGGATCACCTTTCTTGAAAATGGGAATAAATATGAATCTCTTCCAGTCAGTTGGCCAGGTCACTGTCTTCCAAATTTCCTGGCACAAATAGTGAGCACGCCCAGTTGGTATTCTGTCAATTCCTAGGGCCTTATTTTTTTCGGCATTGTCTTCAGTACGTCTTGAACCATTGTTTTTTGATCATATGCTATTTCCCTCAATCTTCTTTTGATACATCCTGGATCATTTAAGATTTTGCCCTTATTTTTGTCATGACAGGAGTCCAGAGCGAAGGCTGTATAGTGGAGTGGACCTGGGGGGAGGGATTGTAAAACAATGAAAGAATTTTTGTTTTACTTTTCCAAGAGGGTAGTGTAGTGTACTAGGGGGAAGGGTTGGGAGGGGAGAAGAGTGCAACAATGAATGAATGGAAATGCAAAGTCTCTAAATTTTCATTGAAATTAATAATAAATTTTAAAAAAAGAATATAAAAAGAATTTTTCCGTTAGTGTCCTTTAGTATTACAGCTCGAGGCTTGAATTTATTTATTTTTTTTTTCTGGTTTTTTTCAGCTTTGCTGAATGAGTTCTTCTGTTTTTATTTTCCAATTCCAGCTCTTGCTCTGTCCTCTATAGCTGCTCTTTGAAATCTTTCATTCATCTCTTTACTTCAGCATCTCTTCACTTTGTTTTGGCCTCTTAACAGTCTAGTGGAATTTTCAGAGTCTCTTCTGACATTCATTTTGACCTTTTCTTTCTCCCCTCTCTGGAATGACCTTTTGCTCTCTTCTTGGATGATGTCCTTGATTTCATCCCACTGCTCATATGGTCTTCAATCATTAGTGGTCAGTGGCTCAAACCTATTATTTTTTTCCCCTGTATATATTTTATTTTATATTGATTTGCATATAGAAGTTGTACACACTGTTTTTCATTTATGTACATTGTGCTTCATACCTTCCTTCATTCACA